TAGGATGATCACCTTATGAAATACTTGTGAATACTTGATGAAATTCATGCACAGTTTCATGTAATGTATAGGAAAGTAAAATATCATTAATTTGCACCATTTTGAATCAGTCATAGTGTGATACTATAATACCATGACACATTCAGAAAATATTGTGACATTGAATTATAATGCCCAGCACTAGGTGAACATGTTTTGAGCATGTTTAGAGACACTAGGCCTGCGTTTGAGGCTCCACATGCCGCATTCCTCTGTAGAGTGAAGAGTGAGTGTTGTGGTTTATGTTTGTAGACTTCCGGATCCTTCACGTTTCACCACCTTCATGTCCCGACAGCGTCCTAACAGCTCCATCTTTGAGCAGAGACAAAAGCTGGTCATCAGTGAGGACCTCAGCTCTCCAATCCTGTATTAGGAGCCCCTGCCCTTTACAGACTGCACACTTACCCACCTGCCCCGGGGACTTGCTTTATAACAGAAAGGCATGGCCTGGATACCATGCATAACTAGAGTTTTTCTGTTTTATCATTGTTGCAGAAAGCACACATTATTGTTTGTTTTTGACAAATAGCACATTTTGTGTGATGGATCAATCATGCAGTGACTGAAAAGGCCTTCTGAATGTCATTGCAACATAGCAATAGCATATGCCATCACAGTTTGTGTGTGTCATTCTTCTTGTAAATGTATTTTCTTTACATTTACTTGTATTTTCTTTAGAGTTTAGGCAGACCATTAAAGGCTCATCTAGTTTTAGTCCATTGCTGTACTACATCTTCTGTCTTCTTAGCTCTATTATCATAGCATTTGTAAGAATTATCTAATGCCAACATTATTTCAGGGCAAAGTCATAAACTAACAACAGTGGTGCTCCTAGGTGTTAAATAAGCTTGAACAAATGTAACAGAATGTAATAAATCATAAGACTAGTAATATAATGCTTCTTGTAAGACCCAGCATCATAAATAAGAATCTTTTAGCATTTAGCAACAGAAAGCAGACACAAAAGGTAAGTAAACTCTTGGTAAGCATATGTGTGATTGGTAAATAGATAATAATTATCATGTAGAACAATCTATGATCTAAAAGTAATATATCACATTTTTCCACTGCACAGATCAGTGTACAGGGAAAGGTTTGTATATGTTGTCATGTACAGTGAATGCAGAGTTTGACTGGAGAGCATTATAAAGGGAAGCAGCAGATCATTTTATTACTGTATAGTTCTGCCTTGAACTGATCAGTGTTTTTCTTGTTATTTCTTCAATATGTGTTTTTTTTTTTGTATGTGTGTTGATAAACTACAGACTTCAGATGATTTATGTATAGATGTTAAGTTAATAGATTTTCAATGGTGTTTTCTACCATTTTCTTACACCTCATGAAATTCTAATTTGTCTAAACAATTAAACATAATTTCAAAAGCACAGTCTGTAGTCCAATCCTATAAATAAAGCAATTATATTGAATTCGTCTATGTGTGCTTAATAAGTAATACAGTCCATGTTACACTGAATTCAGATGCTGTTTCTTAATGAGTGCACAGAGCAAGGATTCCTTTCTTTTCCCCTCCTTTCCTTTCCTTTCCTTTCCTTTCTTTTCCCTTTTCCTTTTCCTTTTCCTTTCTTTTCCCTTTTCCTTTCCTTTCCTTTCCTTTCCATTCCTTTCCCTTTCCTTTCCCTTTTCCTTTCTTTTCCTTTCCTTTTTCCTTTCCTTTCTTTTTCCTTTTTCTCTCCTTTCCCTTTTCCTTTCCTTTTCTTTCATTTCCTTTCCCTTTTCCCTTCCTTTCTTTTCCCCTTTCCTTCCTTCCTTTTCCCCTCTCCTTTTCCCTCTTCCTTTTCCCTTCCTTTCTTTTCCCTTCCTTTCTTATCCCTTTTTCTTTTCCTTTCCTTTCTTTTCCCTTTTCCTTTTCCTTTCCCTTTTCCTTTTCCTTTCCCTTTTCCTTTCCTTTCCCTTTCCTTTCCTTTCTTTTCCCCTTTCCTTTTCCTTTCCTTTCTTTCCTTCTTTCTTTTCCTTTCCTTTTCCCTTTCCTTTTCCTTTCCCTTTCCCTTTCCTTCCTTTCCTTTTCCTTTCCTTTCCTTTCCTTTCTTTTCCCTTTTCCTTTCCCTTCCCTTTCCCTTCCTTTCTTTTCCCTTTTCCTTTTCCCTTCCTTTCTTTTCCATTTTCCTTTCCTTTCCTTTCCTTTCCTTTCCTTTCCTTTCCTTTCCTTTCCTTTCCTTTCCTTTCTTTTCCCTTTTCCTTTCCTTTCCCTTCCTTTCTTTTCCCTTTTCTTTTCCCTTTTCCTTTTCCCTTCCCTTTTCCTTTCTTTTCCCTTTTCCTTTTCCTTCCCTTTAGATTACCTTGTTGCTCCAGCGTACACCTAAAGAAGCAAACTTCAGACATCAAACATGTTGGCCGGCTGACTTTTGTGATAAGGGTATAACTGTACAAATAGGACTATTCCATTCCTTTAACTACATGTAACTGAATAAAGGAAATTAGTTACTACCCACCTCTGGTAACATGTTATCTTTTTGACACCTATTCATTTATAAGTATTTTTTAATACCTCCTGGTTGAAATTTGTATTCCTTGTGATTCTCTGCAGAGATCACCAATCTTATCCACACAAGATCAACATGGCTGCAGGTTTTCATGCGAAACAAGCAGCTGTGCACTCCTTATAACCAACCAATTGTTTTAAGACTGAGATCAGCATTTTAAACAAGTGTAATCAGGTGTGCTTCTGCACGCTGAAATGAAAACCTGCAGCCACACCAGCCCTTTATGGATAAGACTGGTGACTCTTGCTCTAGCGTGATACAGTAAGTGAAAGCACTGTCATAATCCAGCACCAGAGAGAGACGTCAAACAATGAGTTTATTTTTCTTTGTGTACAGTCACTGATCTTGTGACACACAAGAGGAACAGATTTTTATGAGGACCTTCACATATCTCCCTGCTTTTCTCTAGATGGAGCTCTAGTTCATCATTCAACCATGTCTCTGCTCACTGCACTCAAATACAAGAGCCTCAAGCACCCTCTTCATCAACAAGCCTATGCACCACTTTAAAGAACACATCTCTTTGGCAGCAGATACATGAAGATAAACTCTTACAGTATATCCAGCACAACCACCGTACTTTTTTTCATCAGTAGTTTAAAATTGTTTCGTAAAATACAAAAATAGTACAGATTGCCGTCTAGCTCAATCTAGGCTAACCTATTACGAATAGATGCCATAAGAGGCAAACAAACATTGAACATATTAAGTGTAGCATAAAGATTTTCTTTTTTCCCCAAAGCACATAAGTGTGCAGATCACATAGAATTCCTGTACATCGTCTATAGTCGTAGCATCAAGCAGTTTCTTTCTGAGAGAGGAAGTTATTGTTTCCTCAACAAAGCCTACCAAAAAATGAAGTTCATATCGGACAATAATGCCACAAATCAAAAGGTAAACAATCAGTGCAGTATTCAGTATTCACTGTATTCAGTAGCTTCTGTCATGTTCTTATGAATAACATCAACAATAAAGGTAATATTTTGTTGTGAGAGTCCACTGTAGTTGCTTTGCTGATGCTCACTTTATCCTTTACTTATATTCAACTAAATATCTATTAAATGCGATTGAACTTTGCATTGAACATGATAGATTCTCTTTTAAAACTCACTTTAAACCTAACACTTTATTTGGATAGTCCACTTTAGATGCTTTGTAGATACTTAATTTACTTTCAATTTATATTTCAACTAAATATCTACTAAACTGACCATTATTTTCTTTAACTCTAAACCTGGCTCTAATCCTAACCCTAACCTTAACCTCAACCCAAAACCTAAACCCAACCTTCACCCTGGTCCTAGCCCTAACCCTGGTCCAAGTCCTAACCCTAACCTCACTACTGTTTACAATCAACAGATAGTTTAACAATTTGAACATCTATAGACAATCTATAGGGGGCTATAGTAGGCTATCCAAATATTTAAGACCCTAACCTTAACTTACGCCCAAAAGCGAAACCTAATTCTAGACCTAAACCTAATCCTGTTGATAATCAGCTAAGTTTCACCATATAGACTGATAACAATTAAAGCATCTGTAGATAATTTACTGGTGGCTCTCAAAATAAAATGTTACCACAATCCAATTTCCTTGCAATCAGTTCCACTAACTTTCTGTGTAGTTTTTTGAAAATGATGAGAAAGGCATCATGTATTAAATGAAAAATACCTTAAGACAACAATTATGAACACTAATCATGAGACATCCCAGCTCTGATCATCATAAGGTAGCAAACATGTACAGCATCATTGGTATACGTGCTCATCATAAAACGCCTGTTGTGTCCAATATTTTGATATTTTCCAAGCAGCCAGAAAAGCAGGATGGATTTGGCCAAAGTAACTTACTTTGCATTCAGCAGAGCACTAATCCTAGGGTCAAAATAAGATTAATTCTAATTCTAGAGTCCTAAATAAGAGTTCATGCTATGGGTAACTGTAAGGATGGTTTCTTTATAAGAGAGTTTCATAGCTTGTACAAGGCAGGGTAGGCAATAAAAAATGACTCACTGGCTTTTGGCCCAATATCAACAGTGACTCGAAATAAAACGATACGGAAATACCGAAAACGTAATTCACAGAATTTAGTGACCAGGCAAAAATTTCCAAAGAAATAAAGTAAATAAATACTGATAATGTGGATGATATAAATTTCATCAGAGATCTTTTCAGTGTCAACAAAAATTGAGCTGGTCAGAGAGTTTCTTGATGTTGCATCACCCTGTATGATCTGCTACTTTCAGGTAGATGGCTGACTCAAGGCAGCTATGTGTTTCTCTTTTCCCCCAAATATATTTCCAAACGAATTCAAACAGTACCTTGAGTTATTTCCCAACACATCATCATATTTTAACATCTTGAATAGTATTCCAACATTACTTCACAGTCAAAGTCCACGTCATCCCACATTGTCCTGAAAAAATGAGATTTGGGATTTGGCTTTGTGACTGGTTGCAAGTTTTTTTTTCTCTTTTTCTGATAAAATGTTGATTGTAGCCTGGACGTTAGGGTTATATCCATACCTGATGTCCTTTGCAAACAGTTTCATTCAGGAGAATCCCGTGTCCTCACAGTACATATAGTCCCTTCAAAACTGTCACTAGTTTAAAATATGCAAGAGTTCAACAAATAAGATATTATTCAGGTTTAAACTACTTCTAATATTGTTTTTAAGAAGCATATGGCCACATTTTTTTTATTTTGTTTCTTTTGGGCCTCATATTAAAGACCATTATAAGTATTTGCTAACAATAATAGGCACTGTTTTTTGATGGGATCCAAAAGATTCTCTGAAACAGTATCACTTTCACTGCAAAGACCAAAAGGTCTGGAGAAAAAGATGTATGTGCAGAGTGCTCCCCATAGATGGCAGTGGTGTGCAGTTCTCACTCTCGCTCTCCATCCTCGCTGCTCCCTGCAAGACAGAAGAGATTGAAACAATTTAATTAATGAAACAATTTCAGTCTATGACGATCAAACTAAATTTCAACCTCTGCATAACTGAATTATATTTATGAGCACAGTTGTGCACCAATAATAAAAATAAAAAAAAAAACAAATAAATAAATAAAAGATGCATGTCAAGCCTAGTTTTGCTGGACCACTACTGGCTGCATGCAGTTTGTCATGCAGGTGGCAGTGACACCACATGATGGTGGTGTATTACTGTGTGTTGTGCTGGTACGAGTGGTTCAGTCACAGCAGTGCTGCTGGAGTTTTTAAACACCTCAGTGTCACTGCTGGACTGAGAATAGTTCACCAACCAAAAATATCCAGCCAACAGCGTCCTGTGGGCAGCATTCTGTGACCACTGATGAAGGACTAGAGGATGACCAACACAACTGTGCAGCAGCAGATGAGCTATCGTTTCTGACTTTACATCTACAAGGTGGACTGACAAGGTAGGAGTGTCTAATAGAGTGGACAGTGAGTGGACACAGTGTTTAAAAACTCCAGCAGCACTACTGTGTCTGATCCACTCGCACCAGCGCACGATTCACACGTACCATCAACATGCCACCACCAGCACCACTCAGGTCCTGCTTCAATACTTTTTATAACGTGAGTCACATCTACATTAAAGAAGTGGTCACTCATGATAGAAAAGGAGGAGGGGACAGTTAGGATCCAATTTTTCAATCAGAATGAACTCGCCCTTGGCTAGGGTAGCCTCAGTAAGATGATCAGCTGGCCATGGCTATAAGCTTTGGTGTACAGTCATGGTGTAGTGCCTTTCTTTTTGTTGCTGTTAGCTGTGTAGCCTATAGCATGCTAACTAGCATGCTAGCATATGGAGTTATTTGTGCCAAAAGTTTCAAATAAAACTACAAAATATAAAAAAAAGTTAAATCAAACTTATTTTTTCCAAAAAAAATAAAATTCTACTCAACTTCAGTCATTCTGATACGTATGTATTACTCGTTTGTCAGTTTTTGCTTTAATTTCTTCTTACTTTTTATTCATTTTTTTTCTCCTGGAATTGCTTTTGAAGTTTGTCTTTTGCTTCTGACTTTTATAGCCATGCTGATAATGGAACTAAACTGCTTTACTGTCTAGGGTTAGTTTACTGCATTAATGTGAAGACAGTTATGGGAGCAGCAGCACTCTGCATTCAAGCGTGCTGAGAAAGAAAGCCTGTTTCAGTGACTGACACGAAGGGATTCTGTGGGTGAGAACAACAAAGAATGACATAACAGCCTTTATAACCCCCAGAACTCATGGCTAGCAGTAATCAGGTATTTTCCACTTTTTACTGTGTTTATATTAGCGCTCAGTTATTTCCCTCGACTCACATCAGATTCAGTGATTTCCTGACCACCACACCTGATTCAGCTCATCAGGGGCAGTTGATAAGCTGGACCAGGTGTTTTAAGGTAAGAAACAGTTGAAACAATGCAGAGCTGTAGGTATTAAGAAGAATTGAGCTGTAGAATTAAGAAACACTGATTTACACAGCTGCAAAGTTTGCCTAGTTAACCCTTTGGTGGGCACTTCTAGCAGACAATGCTTGGCTAGTTAGTGCTAGCATCTGCAAACCTACAAGATGATACAGCTTTGTTCAACAGCTATGTTGACCTAAAATACTTCAGTTTATATATAGTACTTACTGTACTATAATACCACCGCGACCCAGAAGGATAAGCGGTTTAGATGATGGATGGGTGGATGGATGTACTATAATACCCAAAGCCCAGTAAATCATTTGTTATGATTTCAAAATATTAAACATTTCCAACAATTTTATTGCCATTTTTTGGGTTTGAAGAGGGAAATGAATGTCCACCTAACAACAACACCTAAGTTCTGGCCTGATCTATCTTGCTAATTGTGTCAGATCCCAATGATTTCAGGGCAAGTTCACTTAAAAAACTATTACCTCAAACTTCACTTAAGGTAATAAAGTAATGGAACAGCCCTGAAGATGGCACTGGAGACTTCCCCAGAGGGGCAAATGGTGAGACCACCCTTGGCCAGCCAAGTTGACGAGGGCATGTTAAAACCAGTATTAAAATGGGCAGTCATTCAGTGACTCAGTACGAGATAGTGACTCTTGTACGCTGGTCCAGCAAAAATCACTGTTAGAATCAGCACTTTTTTATTGCAGTGTAACAACTTGAGCTAGATCTGACTACTTCATTTGACATTTGCTCCATAAAAGATGCATGTTGTGCTATTTAAAAGCATGTTTTACCTCCTGCAGAATCCATATCTGAGTCAGAAACATGAGTGATGGAGAAACGTGAGACTGTGGAGGGAGAGACAGTGAAACGGGAGAACTGTGCCACAGGTTTGCTGCTTGTGGCCCTGGAGGGCAGGCTTGGTTTAGCTTTGACGTCTGGAGGTGATCCCTTTGAAGAGGTCGGGAGCGGCAGCAAAGGGAAATCATCCTCCCACTCAAACCCTGCACCTGAAAACAAGAAAGAATGTTAGAATAAAAAAGCACAAGAGAAACAGTTGAAATCTAGTGATTTGGGATCATTTTAAGTGAATTCTTACTCTCTTCTGAAATGTTTCCATCTGAGGAATCATCAGAGGCGTTGACTTTTTCCTGTTGGTTTGGTACTGTGCCCTTTGCACCCTGCATGCTTTTCTCTCCTCCCAAAGGGAAACCATGTTCAGCTAGCTCTTTAGTCGGGCTTTCCTGGAGAAGTAGATTTTTTTTTAATTACTTTTTCTTTTATTTACCAGGAACAAAGTACTGTGTTCAGAAATATTCATTTATAATCTTGCTTTTTAATACATGTGAACTACCATCAACAAAAGTATTGGGATAACTACATATATCTGACCACAGATAATATTCGCTTTCAGGAAAATATATGAAATAGTTATCCTTCAAAGAATAAAAGACTCTTGAGATATTTTATAAGTAAATGGGAAGACTTTTACAGAATGATAATTGCAGGATGCTGCTTAGGTCAGTGCGCTGCCTTTGCAGTGCAGTCAAACATTCCAAAATATAATGTGTGCAACGTCTTGAAATGTATACCATCTTCATTATATCTGAATCTGGTGGAAAGCCTTACATAATATATTAACATTGTTATTCAGGTCCTTTGCATTACATTTGTAATAAAAGTATGTTTTCACTGAACTCTATCCCAATACTTTTTTGTATGGTACCATGAATCCACTGCAAAATTAAATACAAAGATGCTGCTCACTTGGTCAAACAAGTAGACGGTAACATCATCAAAGAAGGACACCACCTTCTTCTTGGACTCTAGCTCATCACAGAGGGAGTCGGTCAGTAGACTGGGCATCTTGAGGAGGCTTCTGAGTTTGTGTGCATCGCTGCAGTCGCTCACAATTATGGGCACCTGCAGGGCCTCATCCTCGCTGTCCTCACTCTGCTCCTGGATGCTATAGGTGCGCAACTCCTCATCTGATTCATCACTGTCCTCTGAATCCCCATCCTCCTCATCAGCCTCTTCTCCGTCTGCTGGGGACACTCTGCCCTCGAGTGGCGGGAGAGGGGGAGGAGACAATGGGCGAGTGGAGCTCTTGCGGCACTGCAATACATCCTTAGCGTTACTCTCTGGAGTTTCAGGCTTATCTGCCAATGCATCAGTTAAAAGGCTCTTTTCTGTGCTAGTTTCAAGAGCCCCCACACTATCACTGTTTTCCTGGGGTGCTAGTTCCTCTGAAGATGTGGTAGATGTTACTTCTTCAGTAACCTCTGTTTTCTTCTGAGGCTCATCTTCACTGATGTCAAGAGTGGTCTTAACATTATCATCGGCTGTGACGCTCTCAGTGGGTGATGGTTCAACAGCAAGGATGGGGTCTGTCTCCTTGATTTCATTGTCTTCCAGCTTGGTATCTGCACCTGGCAAGGCAGTTAAATCTGAAGACTGACTGTCAGATGGCAACACTTCTTGATGGTGATCTGAATCTACCTCAAAACCTTCATCTTGGTCATTTTTTGGGCATTCAGCTATCTCATGAGAAGGCGGAGAGATAACAGGGAGTTCAGGTGTTCTAAGTGAGATTCTATCATCTGTTTCCAAAGGCAGGCTTTCCTCTATATTGCTGTTGATGTTTTCACTGTTTTCTATGGTCTGTACAATGTGTGCCTTTTCATTGTCTTCTTCAAGCATCTGCTTTGGTAATAGTCCCTCTTTTTCAATCATTTCCACTGCTTCCTCCTCCTGTCTCTCAAGGTCATCAGTGTCTTTTTCGCTGTCTTCTTCACTTTCTTTCTCTTTCCCCGCATCATTGTCAGAAAAGTAGGCTGAATCTCTGTATGGGGTTTTCTCACTTAGCGCAGTCAGCCCTTCATCAGTGCTTTGCGATGTTGTCAGGGCAACTGCTACCTCCATATCTTCTTGTTGTGGATCAAGTATTTCCCCATCTTTCCCCATCTCATCATCCCCTTTCATCACCATAAGTGGACATGGGTCAGAGATTGACATCAACGGCTGAATGAAAGCTTTAGTGTCTTGTGGTTCATGGGGCTCTTTCAGGACAAACTCAGGGGACTCGTTGTTCTCTGTGTCATAACCACTGTCCATAGCTCTGGGTGAACTTGAAGGATGAAGGGAGGTTGGGCTAAGAGTTTCACTGGAACCTGCAGTGGATGGTATGTCAATGGAATCCATTGAGTCAGGTGTGCCCACCTGCTTCTGCAATGATTTGAATGTCTGGGTGGCATAGTCAGCTGTCTCCACATAATCAACTGCAAAGTCACCAAAAATCCCTGAGGTGACATCAGTGATGTCATCATCACTGCAGTCATCAATCTCCACCAGGCTAATGCTGGAGTGTCCACGGTCCACACCACTGTCTCCTGTCCTGCTGCCTTCTGATTCAGGTTCTGTGGAAGTGAGCTCATGGAGGGGTTTCTCTAATGGTTGAGATGTGGTTGTAACCTCTGTTTTGAGGTTGGTTTGAACTGTATCTTCCTGTACGCTACTTTCTTGTTTGAGCTTTCCTTCTCTGATTACAATATCCACATACTCTGAATGCTCGGTCTGTTTTACATTGTTCTTTGTTGGCTCTGGTTTGGAAGTTACATGCCCAATAGGTAAAGCAGACTGGCTTAACTGCTGATTTCTGTTGGATAAACCTGGGTTTTTTTCTGAGACAACATCATTCATGAAGCAGTTTCTTACCAATGACCCTGTGAGAGGATCCACAAAGTGAGAGTTGCTCAAAGCCTGACAGCACGGTACAGGATAGACCTCTGCTTCTCTTGGTTCATGACAGAGATGAATGTAGGAACTGCAGTCAGCTGAGGATACTGATGCATGCCTGCCGTGCACAGGGCAGGTGTTGCTTTTTACTGTAGCTTCTAGGTAATTAATTGGTTTGGCAGAGCGATATGGGAGGCTATGCTCCTCTGGCCATGCATCCTCAACATCAGTCATAGGCATGGTGTAGTGAAAGTCTGCATAGGCATCTTGCCTGGATGAACTTTGTCTCCGACACAAGCTCAGGATATTTTTTGAGTGGTTACTGGGCCAGCCCATTGCTTGCCTTTCAATGAACAGGTCCTCCTCCTCTTCTGAATCACTGTCATCTCGCCCCACAAACACAGCTCCACCTGACTCAATGTCAATACAAACTGAGTGGTTTCCTGGCATAGTCTTCCTCAAGGAACCCATCATGTCATAATATCCCCCAGTTACATTTTTCCCTATTACTGATCCTTGGCTGCTCTCAAGGTAATGGTCACTGTAGCCTTGTGGGGGACTGCCAAGAGAAGGGGAGATCCCCAAGGGGTCCTCCAGTTCACCAAGAGCCTGTCTCAGGTTCCGAGACCCCCAGCTCTCCCGTGGGGGTTCTGAAAGGTCTCCAATCAGGTAGTGGTCCATACCCAGTGGAGGTGACTGTTCATAATAATAGCCCCCATCCCTATCTTTGTATGATACATAGTGACCTGATTCCCACGGCCTTAGTGGGCTGGCATCAGATACCTGACCCAGAAGTGGTTCCATTGTTAGGGACATGGCTGGACTGCTATCTGAATCATAGGCATTGCTTTTGTGGATGTCCGCTGACCAGTACGACTCAATTGGCTTGCCTTCAGAGGGAAAGTTCATACATTCCCCTGAGTCGCCACTACCAGTGAGAAAGCTGCCATTGCTGCCACCAAACTCAGGGCTGTAAGCACACACTGTGTAATCCAAGTCAATGTTGCAGTCTACTGGCATTCTACTGACATTTGTATTCTCTTCAATACGAATGTAGTACTCACTACTAACTGATGGACTATGAGCACTGAGGACTGGTACCACACCTGGGGTGTGTAACTGCTTAGGCTCAAAGTACTGAGGAGAGACCCCCAAGGTGAGTCCATCAATCCCACATCCACCTACCATCCCTCCTGGGGGGTAGTAGATATCCTGGCAGTGTGGATTCCCTTGACCTAATGTTCCAGTGGTGGATGAGGAGTGGTAAGGTTGCTTTGCTCTTGCTTGCTCCCATTTGTACTCGAAGTTCAGACCATGACTGGTCTCGGTAACAGTTAGAATGTCATCTCCTGACTCTGACTGGTAGCCATCACCAGCAGAGAATTGTTCCAGTAAGGGGAAGGAGGAGGAGGTTGTGGAGGATTGAGGCATCTCAAGGGCCAGGGGACCAGCCCCATGCAGGGTGCCATGATTCATGTTGGGTCTCATGGAGTTCCAGCGTCTCTCAAAGTCTTCCTCTGCTTCACTGGCACCTTTAGCACAAAGGTAACTGAGCAGGAGGTGAACTTCCTCAGCATTTGGCCTCTGGTCTGGCTGAAGCCAGCAGAACTGCATCACTTCATACCTGATAAGAAGCACACACACAAACAAACAAACAAACAAAGCTATTAAAACAGGAATAACATCACCTCATAGAGAAACAATAGAGTTTCTGTGAAAATAGATTCGCAGTGTGCTGGAGGAAATGCGTGCCAAGATGATTTGCATTTTTATAACACCCTAATAAGGAACTGTTTCATTTGAAACAAATATGAGATTTAATTGCCATCTCATCTCCTACAGCAAATACAATTGGATTCATTTTGGTTTCTAATACCAAAAGATGCATATCTTGGTGCAGTCTGCTCTGCTGTGTCAGAAAGGCGTGAGCACACAGACACAGCAAGGAACTGAATATTAGGTAGAAGACTGAGCAGAGAAGCAACATAAAATAAAATAAAAAAAAAAATACTGAATTCCATATGCACTCCATTATTGCAGCAAGTAGAACACTCACCAACGGTCAGCAAGAGGGAACTGAAGCAATGGCTTTGGCAGTTTCAGCTGTTGTTCCTTCACAGCATAGCTGAGGACCTGCCTATCTGAGTAGTGTCGATAAGGCTGGTTCCCCAACTCAAACAACTCCCAGATCGTTACCCCAAGAGACCTAAAACACAGAAACACACGATTAATGTTACCAGGATGGCTGGCTGTTTATTGATTTTTTCACTCCCCTGTGATTTTTCACTTGCTTTCCCTTGCAGTATCAAATCAAATGTTTCTAAACTTCCAAATGAAAATTAAACTTTTGTTTATAGATGAAGCTCCTGCTGTGCAGTACATTCACTACAGAACTTTATTCTTTTAATTTAACATGTTACATACCAGATATTGCTTTGTTTGGTCTGGTCCACCACCAGCAGGTTGCCATGAACGTCATCCACCAGCTCAGGAGCAATCCAGCGTAACGGCACCCAGGACTGATCCGATGTCACATAGTAGTCATCCTGGGAAAGAGCAGGCAGAAAGGATTATTGCTTAAAGAGTCTTCAATTTTGATTATCAATAGCCATGTTTACATGCAGCCTGATAATCTGTTAATAGTCCAACTAATAGCTCAATCGGAATAGAATACGTCCATGTATACACCTCAATCAGAATAGACGAGTCCTTGAGGCCATTCAGAATATTCTATTCAATTGAACAAGGTGGGTAATCCTGTAAATGATACATCAAATAGAAGAACAATAGCCATGTAAATGCCTGTATCTGATCACATTCCCAATAGAAAAGTTTAAGTACGTTCTGTGCATGTGCGTCACGTCATAACGAAAGTTTATAACGTTCCACATGGCGGGAGGTCTGGAAAGGAGATAAACTGGACGCCCATCCCATCGCTGTCTATGTGTCTCAGAACATGACGTCTTCCTCTCGCCCTTCTTTAAGTACATGTGAAGTACATTTTTCTGAGTCTGCCATAATTTTAAAGCAATTAAAAACACAAGCACATCAGCTCAAACCCAGGTAGCTAACACACTGTTGCTCATGTGATGCTCGTTGTCATGGTAACATCTACACTACGTGGTGCTCTACGCATGCGCATAATTTTGGATTGGATTACTTGCAGTGTGCATTTAAACAAACATTTTCCAGCAGATTGTTGAGTAGAGTAAGAATATAAACACTTCAGTCTTAATCTATAATCAGAATGTGTTCAATCAGATTGGCAAAAATCTTTGCATGTAAACACAGCCATTATCAGTAATGTCTATCAGATTTTGTCATGAATAAACAGATATTTAATGCCGTGATATAAACTAATATCTAAGGGTTCCCGACGTGGACCTACATTTTAATTCCTCACTCTCATACTATCCTTATTAGTTACAGAGTAGTTACTACATAATTCATACTAGTTACTGAGTAAGTCATAGTAATGACTGAATAATAAGCCTCAGCTTTAGGTTTTAAATGCTATATCCATACCTTATACTTGCTGTGTGACAGCCCATAGTCTCCAATTTTGACAGTCACGTCTGATGTCAGAAGGCAGTTTCTCAAAGCCAGATCACTGGTGAAGACCAAAATGCCAGAAATATAATGATCAACATGAACTGCTAACAACATTTAGAGATGAGACAAGAAGACCTTAGTAATAACAGCCCTTATCCTTGTTCTTTCTTCGTGGAGAAGAGGAGTAACCCCCAGCAACAAAATCACTGATGCTGGAGTAGCAGAGGCACACTCAGGCAGCATCAGGATATTGTTACAGGAAGTTACCAAGTAACTCCGACACCAGAACAAAGAAGAGCAGATCCAGCAAAGACAATTTACTATAGTAAAAACTATAGATACAGCTGGATTATTATGGAGGTGATATCTCGCATACATGTTTTTCAGCTATATTACATTTTCTGTTGTCCCTTAAGGGCTCCCAGCACTACTTTATGAAGTAGGTTATGGTTTCTACAAACATATGTTTATATAAAAGAGAAAGAGAGAGAATTATTTTGGAAGCAAACTCATATCTGTGATGAACAGCCCACCTGTGGGTGTAGTCATGTTTGTGGAGATGCAGAAGGCCAGAGGCTATCTGGCAAGCCATTCGTTGAAGGAGCAAAGGGTCAGGGGTCAAAGAGTCTGACGCCCTGCAGCTGCGCAGATAACCTTTCACATCGCCCTGTTACCATGGAGATCAAACAGGAAGAAATAGCTTGTAAACAGCAGTAGAAATGAGTAGCATAAACAAGCATTAGTATTCACTGCATGGAGGAAAAATGGCACTGACAGGAATGTAGGATGATGTCAGTGTGCTTTACCTCAACAGGCCACTAGAGGGCCACTGCATTCATTAAACTACACTGTGGCTACAAATGAATGTATTCATTTATGTATCAATAGTAATAGGTCTGGAAAAGTATTTATTCATTCATAATAAATATTTACACATTTATCTACATATTAGATCTAGAAAAATATTTTATTTTGACTACAAGTGTGGCTAGACTGTAGAACAAAACAGTGAAAGGACATTCAAACAAGATAAAAAGCTATAATAAAGGACAGATTAAAAGAAATAATAATAATAATAAGGGACGTATCTGAGCAATTAATGTCTGCATATATATGCATACAGCTTTATTTTGTCATGCAAGGTACTCAGTTTGACTGTAAAAAAGTGTTTTTTGTTCAATGTTCCCTGTCATGAATGGGAGTGCAGCTGTTAGATCACAGGTAACCCACCAGAGGACAGAGCTCCATGATCAGCAGGTAGGGAGTGACCTCTGTGCACTGAACCAAACACTGCACTAGAGCTGGGTGCTGCAGGGACCTGGAGACACCAGTTACAGAATTAATGCACTTTAACAGTTCTGTAGTCTTAGGCCAACTGAGAGAATTACATTCGCTCAGAAAAAAAAACAAACAAAAAAAATTAAAAAAACAAAACAAAACAAAACAAAAATTTTGAACATATAACTAACAGCTTAACCATTTCCTCTGCTCAAGAGAGCCCAGTATTTGCAGTGACCATTCAATCCCTGATTTGGTTAATTTTAAAAAGTTAAATCTGGTACGCTGGTGGTGTTATTTAACAATGCCATGGCTGGAGGTGCATCAAGCAGAAGAGCAATTGTGTTCTTTACAGCTTGTATTGCATAATACAAGTTTCCTTGAAACAAATTTTTATCATTATTTTTACTGTATTATTATTTATTTGCTTTTATTATTTAATGTTATATAGTGTTTTTCTAATGGTGCTTATTGGCCAAAAAAATACTTCTTGACTGGCCTAAGGAGAAGAGGCAGATAAAAAAGCTAAATAAAAGGTTTCTAAATGGTCCTACTACTTACTTCTTATGTACTGATTGTTCCCAGAAGTAATAACTGGCATGCAGTATGTAATCAACATGAATTTCTCGAGTACACCAAAGATACCTGGGTGACTTATTACTCTGCCCAAATATTCCATGTGCAGCCAGTGCTATCTTTGTGATACACTGCATTCTATCAGTGTAAAGGTTTTTAGATCAGTCTGAATGGCTAGTAACAGTTGTTAAACAGTGATTGGAGGGCTAAGAAAATTCTAAAGGTTTTTAGATCAGTCTGAATGGCTCAGCCTCTGAGGTTGGTAGAATCTAGTCATGCAGTGCCATGAAGAAAAAAAAAAAAGCTGATTTCTTTGATTTTTACATATTTGTCACACTACATCATACAAATGTAATATATCTTTTGTTTCCAACCAAAGCTTAACAAAGAAATAAGAGTATTACTGCAATACTTTTGGAGTGTAAATACAACAAACCTGGTGATTCTATTAAATAAAATGAGCTAAAAATGATAGACATGTTTTTTTTAGTTCCAAGAAATCATTAGGCCTTTACTGGACTAGAAGATGCAAGAGGGTTCTGCAAATTTCTTTAAGAAACCAAGAGTATTTTTTTCTGCAGTGGAGGTCTTCAAAACTAGACTTTGAATCCAGTTTCTCGTACTGGATTTTGCAGTCACTGGTAATTAACTGAACTATTAATATAATTGACTGGTGACATCATATCTCACCTACCAGTGACTACAAAATCCAGGACTGGAAGATGGATTCAAGAATTCAATTAAAGACACCTGTTCTATGGTATTGCTCCCTAAAATTTTAGAGATGAGATGCCAAGCACCTCATAAACCAAACTCGCAACTCCCTCCCTCACTTACTCACTCACTCAAACATATTTAGCAGGCTAAAGATCGTCCCCAAGAGGGCACCATTAGCACTTAAATAGCTTTTAGTGCTTTGCATCAATGACGCTGAGTTTAATACATTAAAAAATATGGTATTAAATGTAGGATGATCACCGGTAAGGCCGTGCTTCCTCCAAAAAGTGCATCTGGTCCTGCACGCTGGCACTCGTCTTCAGCTCCTTCACCACCACCTGAGTACTGCTGAGGCCAGAGTTCACCTCCCCCAACAACACCTGAGGACACACAGCATCAACACACACATACACACAGATACCCACACAGGAGAAACAGACAGCACAGACGTACAGATATGAACAGGGGAGAGGAGAAAAACAAACACGTACAAACATACACGTACACGTTTGGATAGATTCACCCAAATGACAAACAAGAAAACAAATTTAAGACAAAGACACCGAGATTAATTTTCATCATGCATTTTGCAAATTCCATCGATAAAGCAGAGGAGAACAAAATGGGATGATTGAAAGGAAAAAACCCACAAACATACACACACACACACACACACACACACACGACGACAGAGCAGGACGTGACCGTTCATGCAGACGAGACGAGGACACACACGCAGATGGACATACCCAGTCAATGGAACAAATTGAGGGAGTGTGTATGTATATGCATGTGTGTACAGAAAGACAAAGAAAGAGAGAAAGAGAAAGAGAGAGAGAAAGTATGAGAATGAAATCCAAGGGATACATTCATACATATTCAACACTATTATACCAATTTCACACACTGGCATTGGGTTTTGCACTTTGCAGCTACAAAGAGAGCTTCAGACAAGTCTTTAAGAGAAACGAAGGGAACTTCAAAGGCAGCCGGATCTGTGCAGGGCTCCTGCGGCCCGTCTCAGGTGATAGAGCATAACAGATGTGCTCTCATCCTTGGGACTAAACTGCGGCAGCCAGGGAGCGGAACGGAGCTAAATGTTTGATCTGCGCCAACACATCCTACGGCACAGCATTAGCACAAGTAAACCAATAAACAATAAACAAGGCTTACCTTGCCGAACCATCCGTGCCCAATCTCCTTAATGTAGAGCAAACTGTGACGAGTCGCATCTGTTGACTTCAGTTGGACTGCAGAAACAGTAAAAGATGGAAAGACAGATAAAACAATAAGACATTACAGTGTCTGTAATCGTACACTATAGGATAAAAAAGTACTAAACTGTCTCTGAGGGGGAAACACTCAGATCATTGTGGTGGTGCTTCTCAAGAGCACGTCTTTAGTACCTTAGGTTATGGAATATAATTGCACCATATTCCGATGCAGTAATATTAAGTTGCATTGACTCCATACACCCTAGGCTTTTTTAGTCCAGGTTTTAAAATAGTAGGTTATGAAAAAGGTACAAATATGTGCCTTTCCCCTTAAGACCATTGCTGTACCTTTGAGGGTAGGTTTACATTGTTTGTACCTTGATGAACAATGTACCTGTGCAGTTTTTTGCACAGTCGTAGAGAAGCCATATTTGAGAGCTGTTTACTGTCACCACACTCTGAAGTGTTTTTGACAGTAGTAGTAATATGAGGAATACTACCTTTTAACCCTTACAACTCTAAAGTTATTATTGTCATTTTATTACACATTTAGCTAACAAATTAAATTTTTTATGCAATGACAAAATTACCTACTCGATTACACAGTCAGTTACGGAATTTACATGAATGTACATTCTGTATCAATAAGTCTGCGTTTCTGTATGTCGACATTAGAAAAACATGCAAAGAGGATTTTTTCCATTGCCCAAAACTAGACTGTATATCCAGAATCCAGTATCCTGAGCCAGTTTATTTATTTATTTATTTTTCTAAATGCCTAAGCTTAAAATGAGCCATATAAGAACACAAGGTGCCATGTGTCATTACGAATAACATCACGGCTATGATTTGGTTACAAGAATAAGCCTAAGCCAATCATCAAAGATCATCATAACCATGATATTATTTGCAATAATTCAATCTACAGTGTTCTACTGCTTTTATTTTGCATGATAATAAAACTAGTAATGCAATAGAACAATCATTAGTAATGCATTAGAACAATCATAGAATCAACATTGTATCAGATGTGCTTTAATACTGCCATTCCTTCTCCCAAAAAAGTAGCCTTTCGCATTACATAACACCATAAAACTGTTTCAACTGCAGGTTCAGCTTGGTTTTTTAATGCTTGCCAGATGAGCCTGAATGTTATTTCACAGCCCTCTTTGTTTAATGAATTGTATTCTGTTCATTTCTAGCTAATTCCAGTTTGCTTAGTTGTTCCTCTGACCAAAAAACTTGCTTAACTCCTCAACCTGTTGTCTTAACTAACTGTTGTATAGAGCAACTTTCACTGAAGTTGAGCAACTATCACTATCATGCTCAAGCTCCTCAAACACTGCAGAAATACATGACATGACACAATGTGAGTTGACAGCATTTCAGGCTAGATTTGTTACAGAACTGGATCACATGCATTCTCTTTTTTCTTCTGACACCCAGTCCAACATTTTCTGAGGACACTGGCCTGATAGGTTCCCCTCAGTACTGATACGGAATGTCTAATCTCTACTTCTAGTTATAAACAACAATGTAGTTCTCCTTGAAAGTTTACAATCCACATGTTTGAGTTAGAAATAATTTAATAAAATGTATGAGGAGGCATTTGGAAATGTATATGCCATAACAGTCCTAAGAAGGTTAAAGCATGAATACACATAGGAGGGTAGAAATTACCATCACTTCAGATCTTTAACACAGCTTCCATCTCTTGTGAAGTTCACAGCCTTTGACGCAGGAGAAGAATCTTTCTTCAGATCAAAATCATCCTCCAAAAATCTTCCCGAAACCAGCAAAAGTGTACATTCTCTGCATTTGTGAGAATTGTAAGCAAAAATATGCAGACCCAACATGTGGTGTCCAAGCCCAGAGGCGTGAAATATGACATGCTATGTAGAACTGATCAAATGCCATTGCTCCAAAAAATGGTGACACTTTTGGTGACCAGGAGTGAGGTTCTCAAAAAGCTTTGCTGCACAAAGAACACCTTCAGATCACTCATAAGACACACCGCTACTTTGGCTACAACCGTCACAGCCATTCATGCTAAAGTCCAGTCATCCGAAGTGAAGATGTGTAAAGGCTCATGGGAAAATGCTCTGAGTTCTGCAGAGCCACTGCTTAAGGCTTGCTGCTGTGTCAACTCAATACATCTTTATCCTGCCCAATCAAGCAGTACCATCTGATTCACCAGCTCCAGCACTGACAACATAGCAATCTCTCTCTCTGTCTCTCTCTCTCTCTCTCTGTCTCTCCAGACAGATGAATCTTTGTGAAAGTGTGTGACATACTGTCTCACTCTCTATCCTGCCTTTATGCGCCGTCCATATTTTACGCCCATGTCATGTTCCAGGGAGCAGTCATTCCTCCATTGCTCCATCCCCCTCCTGGAGGGCCTTCTCTGGGGAGAATCAGCCTCTTTGTCCTGTCTCTGCACTGCTTGGTACCCCTGAGAGCAGAAGAGACACTCAGGCTATTGTCTCACAACTTAATAGGCTGAGATTGGTTCAGCAAGAAGCCCATTCTTCATCTGGGAGGGGCGCTGGTGCCCTCATGCCCTCTGGCGTCTCTGCCTGAGGTCACGAAGAGGTGCAACAAGCACAGATAAGTTAATGTTAATGTTCAGTGGGCACAAAGGTCTAGTATGCTCATGAAAAGTCAATGGAGCGACTGAGTGATCCACTGAGATCCACTATGCTATTTACTCCTACTGGTAGAGGTGTAACTAAGATCTTACAGGTCCTAGTAAAATAATAAAAGCTGTCATACAGTCTCCTTATTGTAGACATATGGGGAGATAAATTCACAGCTTCATGCAACAGATGACTTCACAACTCATAATAAGGTATTAGCATTCTGTATTAATAAATGAAAGATTTAAATGAATCACTGAATTTAGCATTTCAGATTATTTTTATGGGGGCAATCAGTTCTAAATAAATAGCCTGAGATAAATTCTAGTGTTGTAAGCCATTCAAAACATTGAGGCAACTGTTGCTACAACATCAACTTATGATTTATTACCAACAATTTCTACAAGCACCATGATTATTTTGGGAGTTTGACATGGGAATATTTGGAAGAACAGTGCAGTGTTGGCTGCCGTCAAACAGGATAATTCTGTTTTTGATTACAGCGGAAAAATTAAATCATCTTATCGTCTTTCTGAGCTCTGCGTTAAACAATAGAGAGAGAACAAACCAACACATTCTGTTCTGGCAGCGTTTACAGATATATACGTTGTGTAACATTACCCAGGCAGATTCATAAGGATTACATAATAGCATTTGCTCTATAAGTGTGAATATTTTATGGCTGGAGGGACTTCGCTGTATTTAGATCTTAACTATAACGTCATAGGGCATGTGCAATTGGCTTGTGTACGTTTGCTGTGCATCCTTCCATGAGTGAATATCTATATGTGTGCTTTTCTGCTTGACTGAAGATAATGTGTATCTCTGTAAGTAGCATAAAGGCAGTGTAATTGTGTGTTCGTGGAAGTATGGGTGACCATCAGTGTGTCTCCTCCCTAGTCAAACAGGGAAAACAGCCAAATGGCTGCTGGGAATCTTTAGACAAATGACAGAGATAAATCATACCACAATAACACACGCTCACGCACACATGCACACACACACACACACACACACACACACACACACACACACACATGCCGTTTCCAGAAGCTCTTTAGTTTAAATGGACGTTTTAGAAGAATGAAAGTGAGGGTGTAATTACATCACATACCGATGCTGTGTTTGTGGTACCTAAGAGTGATATCACGTGAGCAGGGATGCAAATTTGATCTGATAAATGGAAGAGGGCAATGCTGAAGGCTACATACAGTCTAGCATCACACAAAAGTTGCAGATGTCCTACATAAAACAAGTCTAGGCAAGTCTAGTTTTACTGGACCACCACCAGCTGCATGGCATTTGTTATGCAAGTGTTTATGGGACAGTATATAGGAGAGGACAGTAAAACATTCAGTAACTGTTTGAGTAAAATCAAGTTACCTTATTTAAAAGTATAATTACTCCTATTATCATACCAGTAGTGTTCGAGGCACTATGCTATGCAATCGTCATTCAGAGGAAGTCTTAGGCTCAGAAATGTCTAACGTTTTAAAATATATAATGGTCTAATAAAAAACAATCAATCAGTCAATCAATAAATCAAAATCAATCAATCAATATTTATAAAAAGTGGGAGGAAGATGATACCTCCCTCAAATTTGCACCAATGCATGTGAGTTAGTAAAACTGTATAAGTATGTAGGCCTGATGTGTTTAGCCTTTTGTGCTAGTTTTAGGCACAATTTGGATGCACTGTGCCTGTGTGTTATGCATGAAACTGGCACACAAGTCTATATGCACAGTCTGTGGGCTGTGTGCAAGGCAAGCTGCAAAATGTCCTTCCCCCATAAGCATTCGAGGAAGGATCACTTAAAACATGGGTGCAGAAAATGGTTGGAGATATTGGAAGTGTGGGTTATTACATAAGCCTTGTCTCATTTGGTGCACTTGTGTTTCTGCGGTCCTCTTTTCTGCAGGACAAAGACCGCAAGGCCATTTCTCATACCGGTGCTAAAAGGGGCACTCAGGGGTGCCCTATAAATGCCCTTAGTGTTGCCTTTGGCAAGATCTGCATTGATGTAATGTGATCAACGTGGTGGAGAAGATATTTAAATGTGAGTTAAAATACATTTGTTTATTAATTTACTGTTTGGAATACCTTTTGAAATAAATTTGTATTCCAGTATCTTAATTTGAAGAAATTACAAAATGTGCCTTTAACATGGCAAAAGTGTTGTGGGTATTGATACACTGAAAATGATTGGATATCTTATTTATTTGAAATACATTATGTGTGCGCTGTCTTACCACATACCTACATAAATGCAAAACCCAGAAGTCAACACAGTTCATCTGTTTATGTATATTTATTTATATCTGTAACCTTTGTTAAAACTACATACAGCTGAAAAAAATATAATAACAAATACAAATAAATACATTTTAAAATGTATCTAA